TTGTGTAATGATGAGACTAAAAAAGACTACTTGCCTAAAATGTATGATCCTTTCTTGAATGGGGCCATATCGTGGAACAATCAAAAAATGGTTTTCACCTTCAATTTCAATCATAAATCAACCTTCAATAGAAAATTTGATAGAGACAATTGGAATAAATAAGATTCATGGTATTCTTCTTCCTAATACTGATTGCCGAGAATTTGAACAGAAAATAGATCCATTTGATAAAAAACCATTCTCCGCAGAAATTTCCCATTTCTCAAGTTTAATTACTAAATTTGCTAGAGAATCAAGATCGAGTTTCAATTGGAAAAGATTTTCTTTCTTTTCAAAACAAGAACAAGGACGAATTGATTCCGAAAATGAAACAAAATTTTTCAAATTTTTATTCAATGCAATTATAACTGATCCTAATGATCAAAAAATTAGAAAAAAACTCTATTGGAATAAACGAAATCAGTAAAAAAATCCCTCGATGGTCATACAATTAATAATATAACTGATTTGGAACAACAGTCAGGAGAAAATCAAGAAGGCGTGCCGGGTGGATCATCAGATTCGCTCAAGAAAAGCCAAAGGGTAGTCATTTTTACTAGTAAAAAGCAAAACGTCGATCCCAATACCAAAGATACTAAATAATGCTGATCAAACAGACGAAGTGGCTTTGATACGCTATTCACAACAATCGGATTTTCGTCGAAATATAATTAAAGGTTCGATGCGTAGTCAAATGCGGAAAATAGTTATTTGGGAACTGTTTCAAGCAAATGTGCATTCCCCCCTTTTTTTTTGGACAGAATAAAAAAATCCCCCTTTTTTCGTTTGATATCTCCGGACTAATGAAACCAATTTTTAGAAATTGGATGGGAAAAGGGACAGAATTCAAAATTCTAGATTATACAGAAGAACAGACAAAAAAGAGGAGAGAAAAAAAAGAGAAGACAAAAAAGAACAAAAGAAGAAATAAAGAGAACAAAAGAAAGGAAAAAGCACGGATAGTAAAATATGAACTAGCAAAAGCTCTGGACACCAGATACCATTCCATTTGCACAATAATAAGAGGCTCTATGTTAATAACTCAATCGATTCTTAGAAAATATATTATAATACCCTTATTGATAGTAGCTAAAAATATGGGTCGTATGTTATTATTGCAACTTCCTGAATGGTCTAAGATTTACAGGATGGAATAGAGAAATGCATGTTAAATGTACCTATAATGGTGTTCAATTATCAGAACCGAATTTCCGAAAAATTGGTTAACAGACGGTATTCAGATAAAAATCCTATTTCCTTTCTGTCTGAAACCTTGGCACAGATCTAAGCTGCAAACCTCTCATAGAGATCTAATGAAAAAAATAAAAAAAAAAGATGATTTTTGTTTTTTAACAGTTTGGGGAATGGAAGCTGAACTTCCTTTTGGTTCTCCCCGAAAAAGACCTTCTTTTTTTGAGCCCATTTTTAAAGAACTCAAAAAAAAATAAAAAAAATTGAAAAGAAATATTTTCTAGTTTTAAGAGTTTTAAAGGGAAGAACAAACTTTTTTCTAACAGTCTCAAAAGAAACAAAAAATTGGGTCATCAAAAGTGTTCTATTTATAAAAAGAATAAGAAAAGTACTTTCAAAAGTAAATCAAATTCTGTTATTTAGATTGAGAGAAGTATATGAATTAAGTGAAACTAAAAAAGAAAAAGATTCTATAATCAACAATCAGATAATTCATGAATCGTTTAATCAAATTCGATCTACAGATTGGACAAATTATTCCCTGACAGAAAAAAAACTGAAGGATCTGACTGATAGAACACGCACAATTAGAAATCAAATAGAAAAAATTACAAACGACAAAAAAAAAGTAACTCCAGGAATAAATATTAATTCTAACAAAACAACTTATAATGCCAAAAGACTAGAATCACTAAAAAATATTTGGAAAATATTAAAAAGAAGAAATGCTCGATTAATCAGTAAATTACATTATTTTATAAAAATTTTCATTGAAAGAATCTACATAGATGTCTTTCGGTGTATCATTAATATTCCCCAAATCAATATACAACTTTTTCTTGAATCAACAAAAAAAATGATTGATAAATACATTTACACTAATGAAACAAATCAAGAAAGAATTAATAAAACAAATCAAAATACAATTCACTTTATTTCGACTATAAAAAAGTCACTTTATAATATTAGTAATAGTAAAAGGAATTCACCTATTTTTTGTGACTTATCTTCCTTGTCACAAGCATATGTATTTTACAATTTATCCCAAACCCACTTGGATAAATTAAGATCTGTTCTTCAATATCACGGAACATCTTTTTTTCTTAAGACTGGGATAAAGGATTCTTTTGGAACACAAGGAATAATTCATTCTGAATTAAGATATAAGAAATTTCGGAGTTATGGAGCGAATCAATGGAAAAACTGGTTAAGGGGTCATTATCAATACGATTTATCTCAGATTAGATGGTCTAGATTAATCCCACAAAAATGGCGAAATAGAGTCAATCAATGTCGTACAGCTCAAAAGAAAGATTTAAAGAAATGGAATTCATATGAAAAAAACCAATTACTTTATTACAAAAAACAAAAAGATTCTGAAGTATATTCATTATCGAATCAAAAATATAATTTTAAAAAATACTTTAAATATGATCTTTTATCATATCAATCTATTAATTATGAAACTAAGAGGAACTCATATATTTCTGTTTATGGATCACCATTACAAGTAAATACGAATCAAAAGATTTCTTATAATTACAACACACCTAAAGGCAAATTATTTGATAAATGGGGGGGTATTCCTATCAATAATTATCTAGGAAGAGGTGATATTATGTATATGGAAAAAAATCCAGATAGAAAATATTTTGATTGGAAAATTCTCAAGTTTTGTCTTAGAAAAAAAGTCAATATTGAGGCCTGGATCAAGATCGATTCCAACAGTAATAAAAAAACTAAGATTGGAACTAATAATTACCCAATAATTGATAAAATTGATAAGAAAGGTCTTTTTTATCTTACAATTCATCAAGATCTAGAAATCAATCCACCCAATCATAAAAAAATCTTTTTTGATTGGATGGGAATGAATGAAGAAATACTAAATTGTCCTATATCCAATCTGGAACTTTGGTTCTTCCCCGAATTTGTGCTACTTTATAATGCATATAAAATGAAACCGTGGATTATACCAAGCAAATTACTTCTTTTAAATTTGAATATAAATGAAAATGTTAGTGAAAATAAAAACGTCAATGGAAAGCCAAAAGGGAATTTTTTTATACCATCGAATGAAGAAAAAAAATCTTTTGAATTAAAGAATCGAAATCAAGAAGAAAAAGAACCCGCAGATCGACGAGATCGTGGTTCAGATGCACAAAACCAAAGAAATCTTGGATCCCTTCTCTCAAACCAACAAAAAGATATTGAAGAAGATTATGCGCGATCAGACATGAAAAAACGTAAAACGAAAAAACAATACAAGAACAACACGGAAGCAGAACTAAATTTCTTCCTGAAACGATATTTGCTTTTTCAATTGAGATGGGACGATGCTTTGAATCAAAGAATGATCAATAATATTAAGGTATATTGTCTCCTGCTTAGACTGAGAAACCCAAGAAAAATTACTATATCCTCTATTCAAAGAAGAGAAATGAGTCTGAATATAATGCTGATTCAGAAGAATTTACCTCTTACAGAATTGATGAAAAAAGGGATATTGATTATCGAATCGGTTCGTCTGTCTGTAAAAAATGATGGACAATTTATTATGTATCAAACCATAGGTATTTCATTGGTTCATAAGAGTAAACGCCAAATTAATCAAAGATATCGAGAACGAGGATATGTTGATAAGAAGAATTTTGATGAATCTATTTCAAAACATCAAAGAATGACTGGAAATAGAGATAAAAATCATTCGAATTTACTTGTTCCTGAAAATATTTTATCATCTAGACGTCGTAGAGAATTGAGAATTTTAATTTGTTTCAGTTCAACGAATAGAAATGGTGTGAATAGAAATCCGGTATTTTGTAACGAGAACAACGTAAAAAACTGGAGTCCATTTTTGGATGAAAGTAAACATCTTGATAGTGATAAAAATGAATTAATTCAATTAAAGTTCTTTCTTTGGCCGAATTATCGATTAGAAGATTTAGCTTGTATGAATCGCTATTGGTTTGATACGAATAATGGCAGTCGTATCAATATGTTAAGACTACGTATGTATCCACGATTGAAAATTGGTTAATGTTAATACCGTATTTTTCCTATATATCCTATACCGTATATGGTATATGAAAGTAAACAGATGTACACATACCTTGTCTTACATCCCATTCTAATATACGTGAATAAAGTATCAATTAGATAAAAAGTGAATTGAATCAACAAAATCTTCTTCATTTTCGGTTTAAATATAAATTATTCGCTTTTGTGAGTGCAAAAACGTACCATCCTTTTGTATCCCTATTCGAATCCAATTTGATTAATTCATTTTAATTGATAAAATTAGGAGTCGATAAAGAAATTAAGATCATTATGTATATCACATTCAAATTACTGGCATTATTATTTCTGATCGATAAAATTACATATCTGTAAAGTAAAAAAAGGAGGAGGAAATTCTTTTATGGTCAAAAATTCATTCATTTCCGTTACTTCACAAGAAGAAAAGAAAGAAAACAGGGGGTCTGTTGAATTTCAAGTAGTCAGTTTTACCAATAAGATACGGAGACTTACTTCACATTTGGAATTGCACAAAAAAGACTATTTATCTCAGAGAGGTCTACGGAAAATTCTGGGAAAACGTCAACGGCTATTGGCTTATTTGTCAAAAAAAAATAGAGTACGTTATAAAGAAATAATTGGTCAGTTGGATATTCGAGAGATAAAAACTCGTTAATTTGAAGAATCTTTTTGATCGTTTAAATTTTGATGAACTTCTTTTTTTTTTTTCACTTTCAGCAATTCATGGAAGAATGAATGGGGAAAAACCTATGACTGCACCAGCTACAAGAAAAGACCTCATGATAGTCAATATGGGTCCTCACCACCCATCAATGCATGGTGTTCTTCGACTCATCGTTACTCTAGATGGTGAAGATGTTATTGACTGCGAACCAATATTGGGTTATTTACACAGAGGAATGGAAAAAATTGCAGAAAACCGAACAATTATACAATATTTGCCTTATGTAACACGTTGGGATTATTTAGCTACTATGTTCACAGAAGCAATAACTGTAAATGCACCAGAACAGTTAGGCAATATTCAAGTACCTAAAAGGGCGAGCTACATCAGAGTCATTATGTTGGAGTTGAGTCGTATAGCTTCGCATTTGTTATGGCTTGGCCCTTTTATGGCAGATATTGGGGCACAGACCCCCTTCTTCTATATTTTTCGAGAACGAGAATTGATATATGACCTATTCGAAGCTGCCACCGGTATGCGAATGATGCATAATTATTTTCGTCTCGGAGGAGTAGCTGCTGATCTACCTCATGGATGGATAGATAAATGTTTAGATTTTTGCGATTATTTTTTAACAGGGGTTGCTGAATATCAAAAGCTTATTACACAGAATCCTATTTTTTTAGAACGAGTTGAAGGAGTAGGCATTATTGGCGGAGAAGAAGCAATAAATTGGGGTTTATCAGGACCAATGCTACGAGCTTCCGGAATACAATGGGATCTTCGTAAAGTTGATCATTATGAGTGTTACGACGAATTTGATTGGGAAGTACAATGGCAAAAAGAAGGGGATTCGTTAGCTCGTTATTTAGTACGAATCAGCGAAATGAAAGAATCTATAAAAATTATTCAACAGGCTCTAGAAGGAATTCCAGGGGGGCCCTATGAGAATTTAGAAATCCGACGCTTTGATAGAGTAAGGGATCCCGAATGGAATGATTTTGATTATCGATTCATTAGTAAGAAACCTTCTCCGACTTTTGAATTATCACAGCAAGAACTTTATGTAAGAGTCGAAACCCCAAAAGGAGAATTGGGAATTTTTCTGATAGGAGATCAGAGTGTTTTTCCCTGGAGATGGAAAATTCGCCCACCCGGTTTTATCAATTTGCAAATTCTTCCTCAGTTAGTTAAAAAAATGAAATTGGCTGATATTATGACGATACTAGGTAGCATAGATATCATTATGGGAGAAGTTGATCGTTGAAATGATAATTGATACAACAGAAGTACAAGCTATCAATTCTTTTTCCAGATTGGAATCCTTACAAGAGGTCTATGGGATCATATGGATGCTTGTCTATATTTTGACTACTGTATTAGGAATCACAATAGGTGTACTAGTAATTGTTTGGTTAGAAAGAGAAATATCTGCAGGGATACAACAACGTATTGGACCTGAATACGCCGGACCTTTAGGAATTCTTCAAGCTCTAGCAGATGGTACAAAATTACTTTTCAAAGAGAATCTTCTTCCATCTAGAGGAGATAATCGTTTATTCAGTATCGGACCATCTATAGCAGTCATCTCAATTCTACTAAGTTATTCAGTAATTCCTTTTGGATATCATCTTGTTCTAGCTGATCTAAGTATTGGTGTTTTTTTATGGATTGCCATTTCCAGTATTGCTCCTGTTGGACTTCTTATGTCAGGATATGGATCAAATAATAAATATTCCTTTTTAGGTGGTCTCCGAGCTGCTGCTCAATCAATTAGTTATGAAATACCATTAACTCTATGTGTGTTATCAATATCTCTACGTGTGATTCGTTAAGAAATAAATTTTCCCTATTTTTTTTCTTTCTAGGAAGGAAGTTAAATAAGTTGAATATCCATTTTCATTTTTTTATTCATCATTCAGGCTGATGAACTAAACCAGATAGTTATATGAGTGAAAGAAAACGGCTTATAAATTTGCGGTAAAAAAATGGAGTCTCATTACCTATGTACAAGAGTTAAATGAAAGTAAATATAAGCAGTAAAGATTGGTTACCCCAAGATATTGGTTGATTAGTCATCATGGCTTGAAGCGGGTTCAAAAGATCAACTGTATAGAGGTTTTACTATTAATTACCATAACAGGAGATTGGGCAAAAATGAGTGGATGGCTAGGAACACCAAGGTACACAAAGGATTCGTAATGGAGATTATGTAAGTTATCCAACAGGATATTTCTGTGCATAAAAGGAATTTTAATTGGGGCTTTAAGTTAGTAGAAATGATCAAGAAGTACTCCCCACGATTCCGATCCAGAGTATACTCCTATCCACCGATTAAAGAAATAACTATCAAGAACGAACTAATCCTTTACTTTGTTTTAAAATCCCTTTTTATGAGAAAGGAGAATAGGAACGAAAAAATAGAAAGAATGTAATTGCAATAGAAAAAAGAGAGCTTTTTTTATTCTTTCTTTACTATATAATATAGATATTTAGACCTATATACATATTTTTAGAGATAAAATTCTTGTTAGGATTCCTGAACTAATGCAAGGTCTAATTCTTTT